CCTGAGGTGCATAGAAACGTCCTGACACAGTATCTGCCACCCTGCCTGTCCTCCATGAATGTTGGCTCTCCTTTGATCCCGGCAGCACCCCAGCAGAGGAAGTCAGGAATTATTATCAGACTTATTATCATCATTTGAAGGTAAGCACTGAGATCTACTGTGGGCCTCGCCTTGGGTCATGTAGCTGGTCAGGGACGGAGCCTGGGCTTGTACCTGGGTCATCTGCTACCACGTCTACGGCTCATGTTCTGCTCGGCCTCAGGAGGAAAGGCAGAATGTGAGCAGACACAGGATGGCAAATTCGTGGAGGAGAGAGTTCCAGGCCAGAGGAAGTGTGTGAGTGTCCAGATGCATGGATGGCAGCATGCATCAGACATGGTCATGGTCATGGTCATGGCTGTGCTCGTGGGTGTGTACATTATATGTGTGAGTGTGCACGCGGGTACTGTGCCAGGGTGAGTCTCCATGACATGTGTGTATGAGAGAGCCCTGGGTGTCTGTGGCTCTCCTCCCACGCCCCCCGGGCAGCTGCTGCGCTTGCTCTTAGAAGTCCCTTCCCTCCCCAGTAGCTCCCCGGGGCATCCCAGCAGCCGGCAGGGCCGTTTGATTCTGTTCATCCATAAATCATGACTTGCTGAGGAGATGAGAAGGGGTTGGGAGTGGGGGCAGAGCCCTGGCAAGGGACCAAGTTGGGTCTACCGTTCGCACCTGAGTCCCAGCCTGACTTCCAGCTGCCGCCCCCACCCCCTGTCCCCATGCCTCCGCCCTCCCCCTTCCATGTCATGCATGTTCACAGATCCTGGCGATGGTCAAGTCCTGGGCCAGGGCGTGGGTGCACAGATTGAGTAAGATGGGACCCCTGACCTCTGCTGCCCTGTGGGGAAAGCTAGAGTATTTCCAGTTTGGCGTTTCATTCAGCACTCACTGAGCTCCGTGTCCCAGATATCTCTAGTACAGGGCGTGACATGGTAATGCCATGATAATAACTAGCATTTATTGCCAACCTACTCCGTGCCAGGCCCCGTGCCAAGTGCTTTATATGTACTCGTTCCTGTTAACTTTCCAACAGACCTGTGAGAACTGTACTGTCGTTAGCCCCCATTTACAGATGGGGAAAGTGAGGCATGCAGAGATAATGTCACATGGCTGGGAAGAATCTGAGCCAGAAATTGAGCCCGGGCAGTCTGACTCCAGCCCTGGCACTTGTCACTCTACTCCACGTTTTTGTGGGGTTTTTTCCCTTTCATTTGGTAGTAGGGGTGGAACTCGGGGTGCACTACCACTGAGCTACATCCCCAGACCTTTTCATTTATTATTCTGACACGAGGTCTCGATAAGTTGCTAAGGGTCTTGTTAACTTGCCCAGGCTGGCCTTGAACTTGCAGTCCTCCTGCATCAGCCTCCTGAGATCTGGAATTACAGGAGTGTGCCCTGGCCACCCAGCTTCACTGCTATCCAAGTTGGAGGCAGGAACCGTGTGAAGGGGGGGACTCAGGCAGGAGAAATTAATCCCCACAGGGCAGATTAAGGAAGGTTCATGGAGGTGGGATTTTCATTTGGGTCTAGGAAAAATCAGAAGTGTGTCAGGCAAAGTGGGACATGGGGGGAAACAGAAGGGTCCTGGGGTGTGTGTGTCTGTGTAGAAGTGGCTCTGAAACTCTGTCCTTGATGGCTATCCCAATCTCTTCTTTCCATCTTGTTTGGGTGACAAATGAGATCACAGGCAAGCATTGAACATTCAACAAATATTTGCTAAGCAACTCTGTGTGTCAGATACCATACTTCTCACAAAGGGTACTGCAGCAAGCAAAGCAGATATAGCTCCTATGTTCACAGGCCGCACTGTGTAGTATACCATAGGTGATTAATAACTGGTAGCCTCCGTTATTATCTTTATTCCAAGAGGGCTGGCTTTCTTCCACATTCATTCTTACAACAAGCATTTATCAAGCACCTACTATATGCCAGGCTTTGTCCTCAGTGCTGGGAATAAATATCGTGGTGAGCAAGAAAGCAAGCCCTGCCCTCACGGAGCTGACTTGCTGGAGAGGGGGACTGTGCATGGACATCTTGTCCTCCCTCGGAGTGGGACTACCTCCGGGGGTTCACAGGCCTGATCTGAGATCTGCTTGGGAAGCGGCACAGCCAGGAGCACCGGCTCTACCCACAGGATTCAGAGCATTCGCCCCGAGCTCTGATTAGCTGCATGCCCACCACAGACCCGGGGTGGGGGGCGGCAGCAGGCTGAGCCCACGCAGCACTCCCAAGACACCCCCGGGATTGGACTGGCAGGCTTGGTTCTGCCCGGCTCCCGGCTCACCCTACCTCCCAGGTCTCCCGATGTCATCTGTCTGCCCTTGTCTGCGTCTCACCCTCAGGGACCTGGGACGTCTCCTCTGCCCAAGGATAGGTTGCAGAATTCAGCCCTGTCAAAGGCTGACTAGACCTGCAATATTTTCTTTCCCCAGATGTTAATATGCTGACAATAAGGGGACTTGAAACCATGTATGTCATCTGAGGAAGGGATGGAAGGGCCCGGGCAGCTTTGCCTGGAGAAGACTTGAAGGGGACATGAAAACTGTCGGCAAGGATTTGGAGGCCCGTCATGCAGCCCGCCTGCTCCCCGCAGCTCCAGAGGCAGGCTCAGGACCACAGGGGAGGGTTCCAGGGAGTCGGCTCAGTGCAAGACACAGCAGGCCTCACCTCACGGTGCATCGGTGGTGCATCGGGGAGGGCCAGCTTCCTGCAGAGGCAGCTCCCTGTCAGTGCCCGGGCTGCCCAGGGGGCTGTGCAACGGTGGGGCCTGACTCATGACTTTCAAGGTCCCTTCCAGCCAGAGACACCGTGACTCCCTGCTCTGGGAATGGTTCGCTCTGACTGGCAGGCGAGAACACGCTTGCACCCCTTGACGGTAACATCACTTGAGGGCACGCCGGCCAAGGACGCCTTGTCACTTTTACTCCCAACATCAAGGCAATTTGCAGTGGCAAGCGTTTGTCTCACGCTGCCTTCAAGGACTGTCCAAGGGATGCTGAGGGGGGTCGGGGATCTTGGGGAGGGGAAGAGTCGGCTTCCTAAAAGATGATGGCGTTCTTTACACTGCAGGGGACCCTAGAGTCACTGTTCCAGAGGGGTTTCAACTTCCCTTAGTAGTACATCCCCTTCTTCAAATGGAATTTCCTGCAAAAGCTCAAGATGTGAAGCTGAGGGAAATGACGCTGCTCTGACTGGACAGGGCTTGAGAGGCCACAGCCCCTGAGAGATTCCAGGGAACCCTGGGGGTTCCAAAGAGCCCACTTTGAGAACCACTAACCATCCACCTCTGGAGTGGATGATGGGATGTCAAGGCAAAGAGTATGAACTCTGAAGCAGATCACCAGGGTTTAAACCCTGGCTGTCCCACTCACTAGCCAAATGACCTTGAGCATGGCATTTGACCCCTCCGTGACTGAGTTGCCCCAGGAAACTCGCAATGTTTATCTCCGTTGTTGCTGTGAGGATTAAGTTGCTCTTGCAACTCGGAGCCCCTGGAACTCCTGGCTCATCCTCTGAGCCAGGAAGGGTCAGTTTTTCCACAGATGGCAGCACTGATGTCAGTGGCGTGCCCCTGGGGCAGGACTTGGTTGCTGCAGGTTGTCCAGGTCAGAGCTCATGTTGCTGTGGCCCTGGAGTTCACAGTGAACTGGGCACAGGGACTTCCTGCAGCGTGAGGCTGCATACTTGTACAGGAGCAAGCTCCGTGGGCACGGCGGGTGGACACGGGGAAGCCTTCTCTGAAGGGAGAGATGGGGCGCACGTGGCATTCTGGAGAGAACAGGCAGTGAATGGGCTACAGGGTCCTGGAGCGATGGGAGGGAGCCCAGGGAGCCCTGGGAACTGGGCATGACCGCCGGGCCTTCCTCATGGCCAAGCAGGAGACGCCAGGAGAGGAAGAGAAGGCGGAAGCTAAAACCGCGGGAACCAGGACCAAACAGATATTGTCAACTCTTAATTACCACAATCACCGGCACTGAAGAGCCCACGCAGGCGCCTCTGTAAATAAACCACGTCTCCTTGACTTCGGAACGCGTGTCGTTGCAGGGCGCTCCTGTGTACTGTGCACGTGGGGCTCTGCCTTCTCTCCACTCACTCCCCCACACCATCATTTTTGGTCAAGGTTTCGCCTTCCTTACACTTGGTTGGGGCTGATGTTTACAGCCACCTGTGAAGAAGGCAGGGGAGGTGGCTTAGTGCAAAGCCACCCAGCTAGGAAGAGGAGGGACTCCCTGAAGCTTATGGCCCTGAGCTTACAGAATGGAAGCCGCAGGGTAGCCCCCACCCTAAGCATTTGGGACTTTGAAAACAATGAGATGGGGTTGCAACCGTGGGTGGGAGGGCAGAGGTGAGCTCACAGGCACAGCTGGGGAAGGCAAGGGTGGGCAGAGGCCAGTGGGGTGGGCTTCCAGCCCAAAGGAAACTGAGTTAAGGTGAGCAGAGGGGCCCAGGGATTTCCCCTCTCATTACACATGTGGCTGTTGAGTCTTGGCCAAACCCTTAAGAGGGACTGTAGGAACTAGTCCTTTAGGTCCATTTCACTGTAGTTGTCACTCAGTGTGTGTGTGTGTGGGGGGGGGTCCTGGGGACCTGGAAGGGCAGAGAGCCACGAGGACACAGCACCTACTTTAGAGGGATTGATGCACCTACTAAGGGCTGGCGGAGCTGAGGGGCACATATGGCCTCTCCCTTTCAGGGAGTCAAGTTTGGAGAATGGTATGGAGACACCAAAAAAAGATGCCAGCTGGCACAATTCTCCCAATTTATAGATGAGGAAACTGAGACACGGAGGGGTGAGGTATTTCCCGAGTTGACCCAGCAAAGCAGAAGTGGGAGTGGAACCAGGACTCAGAGCTCCCAGCTTTGAGGCCAGAAGATGGAAAGCGGGGTGCTCTGGGGAGCTCTGGGATGAAGGAGAGTGGCTGTCCCTGGCCAGTGAGGGTCTGACGTGTGCCTGTCGTCCCCAGGGGCACCCACCCGCGATGTCCTGCTGGTCTCTGCCATCATCACCGTCAGCCTTAGCGTCACAGTCGTCCTCTGCGGCCTCTGCCACTGGTGTCAGCGCAAACTGGTGAGGCTCCTGAGGGCCCCTGGGGCGTGGGCGGGGCCTGGCCCTGCACCCCCTCACTCTGCAGCAACGGGCTGCGCATTCTCGCGAGTGTGCGCCCGCCCAGATGGACCACTTGCCCATACAGACGCACTTCGCGGAAATTCCCACTACACACACGCCCTGAGTTTGCCCGGGTCTTAATCCCATACTTCTTTTTACACTCAGAGCCACACATCTAGGGACACACATTCATGGACAGACCTCGGTCTCAGTCACCGCACTACACACATGCGTGCATGCGTGCGCACGCGCCCCACCTCCCGCATAAAGAACCGCAGACTCACACGCGCTGACTGAGAATTGAGGCCCCTCAAGCGCCAGCGCCGCGCCCCTCCCTTCGCTGCCCCGCTAGATGGGCGTGGCAGAGCCCAGTCTCCTGGCCAATGAGGAGGCACCGCCCGCCCCGCCCCACCCCACCCCCAGCCGCGGCACATCCATCCTGATTCTCCGGGTTTGTACAAGCTCAAACGGCTTCTTTTCATTTTTAACGAGGGCTGGGAAATTAAAGAGCAGGATTAGGCCATCAATAAGTAACGAGAACGTCTAGAGGGACATTCATCACCCGAGGGCGCCGGGAGGGGAAGCGGGCTACTGCCACCTTACCCACTCACCCACCCGCAGCCTGCAGCCCGCAGCTCTGCAAGGGCCACTTCCTGCAGGCCCTCACTCCCTGCTACTCATCTGGTGTTTCGCTGCCCTGCCCAGAAGCGGGGTGGGCTGCAGGGGTCTGTAGGGGGCTCCCCGATGGTGGGCCCAGAGGTGTCTGTGAGGTGCAGGGCTTTGCAGGCATCCTCCAACCAGAGAATGGTGTGAGTGGGGGCAGGGTGCCACATCTGGAACCCCGTTTTCCCCTGCCCACTCCCAGAGGTGCCATAAGGTGGATAGAGCTCCATGCCCCACTCCTATGGAGGAAGAGGAGGAGCAGATAGCCTTGGGAAAGGGTTGTGGGGTCTTGTAGGGGGCCTATGGAACCCAAGCAGTCCATAACCTAGCATCTCCTTCAAGAAAGGCAAACTCAGGAGCTGGGGTCTACCTCTCCATCCACCCGGGGATTTTGAGCACCAGGCAGCTTTGACCCCTGGGGAAGAGCCACGGAGGCCAGCCAGCTCCATATGTGCATGTGTGCAAGCATGTGTGACCTGGCCTACTCCCTGCGTGCAGGTGTGTGGTCCTTGGATGGCTGCTGTGCATTGTTCCCAGGTCCCCCGTGTCTACATCTGTCTCAGAATTTCAGGGGAGGTGTCAGAGGGGAATTGGCCACGTGCCTTGGTGTGCAAGTGTCCTCTGAGGCCATGGAAATAACAGCTCACACTGCAGCCCTGTGTGTTGCAAGACTCTGTGTTTCTGTCTGTATTTGAAGGCAGGGGGAAAGGTTGTACAAACAGGCACTGCTGGTGACTTTGCGTGTGCATGGGGGTGGGGTGTGTGTGTGTGTGTGTGTGTGTGTGATTTGTGCAGCGTGTGTTGACTTTCAGGGCAGTGGTGCAGCATGTGTGTGTATATGTATGTGCACGGGTGTCTGTGTGTCCATCCTGAGCAGTGAGATGTGGATTATATCATCAGATCTTTGTGTGACTGGCACTGAGGTATGCCTCCATCCCAGCCTCTCCTGCATGTGCCACAATGTGTGTGCACCACTCTGTGCGTATGCCCATGTATGCATGCATGTGTGCTGAGACGTGCCTTCCAGGACCAGGTTACTCTGAGCCCCACTCACCTCCAATCAGCGCAAAGCCTGCAGACAAGAGTTCAAAGATGACAGCTTTGGAAGCAGGAGGGGGCCAGCAGTGCAGGGAGCGCTGGGAGATGCAGATCCAGCCTCTTCCCTGGTCCCAGCATGCCCCCAGCCACCAGCCAGGAACTCTCCCAGGGCTCCAAACTACAGTCTGTCCCTCTTGACTCAATAGAACATTACTTTCTCAGTCCTTCAACCTACCGCCCCCAGCCCCTGGCCCCATGGGTTCCAGGCATCAGGGAGCTTTATGACTGGGCTGTTTCCTTGCTCCATGAAAGGAGCTTTAAAATGCTCTCCCTACGAACAGTTGCTGGGCTCTCCTTGCCTGCCTGTCCCCTCAGCAGCAGTGACGTGATACCCTGACAGCCCAGATCCCATTTCCAAACATTAATAACTTCCTTAATCTCCAGCTGGCTTTTTCCAGATCAGCCTGGCTAGCCCCCTTCCTGATAAGCCTGCTGGGGGTATGGGCTCCTTCGGAGCCACCTAATGTCTCCTAACCCTTCCTGGATTTCCTATTAACTTGGGTTGCCCTATTAAAGTCCCCTGCCCCCTCTCAACCAAGCCGTGCCTTGGTCCTTCTCCACAGTACCTCCTGCTGCCAGGAACAGCTGCAGTCAGAGGGGACGGTTCTCTGAGCTGTAGGAAGAAGAGGGGCCGACAGAAGCCCCCAGAATGCCCTGGGCGAAGCGGGATCACCTACCTCAGCCCAGTCCTGCCTGGCCTTGGGGAAGGGGCAGCCAACTAGCCTGAGGAGAGGATGCTGGCCAGGGCAAGTTCTCCAGTCAAGACCAGAAATATGAGAGAGGATGAGGCCCTGGGGGGTGCCTGCAGGAGGGCCCACCCTGCCGGAGACCTAGAGAACAGTGGGTACCGGGCTCCTGCCAAGGGTCCTGCTAAATACAGCGTGGCCCCTAGATGTTCCCAGTCAGTACTGGAGTAGTTTGAAATCTGAACTTCCGGGTAATGAGGGGAGTGACAGGAGACGAGCTGAGAGAGAACACTCTGTAGACCCAGAGGGTCCAGCCGCTCTGTGATTTAACTCTTAAGGTTCTGGCTCTGGCACCAGCTGGGCCCAGGCCCCCACTGTGGGTGGGACCATAGAAGAGAGGCTTCCACGACTGGTGGGTACCAGGTCCCCCTCTAGGGACAGCCCTGCCTTTGTGCAGCTCCATTCCAGGGAGAAGGAGCTGAAGTAAGCCAACAGAGAAACAATGGAGTAAGAACAGGGCACATCATCCTGGGGGGGCGGGGCGCATCTAGTGACATCACACCATTTCAGACAAGAGGAAAGAGACCAGAGGGGAAGGGACTTGGCCAGAGTGGCACAAGGAACATTTGACATCACTGGGGTGATGGAGGGGTGCTGGAGGTAGAGTGAGGGCTCTCCCCGGCCCCTTGCCGGGAGCTCCCTGCCTGACCCTGGACAGGCGGCTCCCGTGGCTGGGCAGGGGCTGCCGCTGGCAGGAGCTCAGGGAAATGCCGCTCTGGTGACTCGCATTTTGCTTTCAGGAGAATGGAATGATTGACTGTGGTGGCTGTGGTGTTGGTGCACAGGGCAGAATGTCGAGGAAGCATGGGGTGCATGTGTGTCTGTCTGTCCCCACTGTCCCCACCTAGCCAGGCAGGGGCAGGCCAGTGCCAATGAGTAAATGGACCTGGTGGGGGAGACCGCTTCAGCCCCCACGCAGCCTCCACCTTCCACCGCCTGTATCAGCCCAGAGCCTGGTCCAGGCCCGGGGCCCCATGGGTGCGTATGAGGACGCTTGGTGGCAGCCAGGAATGTTAATGGGGCCGGGCTCTGCATGAGCTAAATTTAGAAACCCAAACCGAGAAGGTGACTGGCGCTCACCTTCCTGGCCGGCAGGCCCACTCGCCGCTGCAGAGTGGCCCTTCCTCTAGCTGGAGGGCCTGGGTGTCCACCCCCTTCCCTCCCCTGTCCCCTCCTCCTGCTGCTATGAGGGACTCTGGGGGATGTCCAGGGGCAGGCTGCCCCCCACACCTATGCCAAGGCTCCCTTCTTCAAACGGCCCTCACAGCCCCAGGACCCCAGGACCCCAGGGAGCCCCCAGGTAGTGATGGACATAGCCATGGGCAGGACTGGCACGTGACCCTCTCCCTGCCCCCACCGCTCACGTCACTGGCCACTGCCAACCTTGCCCTACAGGGTGCCGCCCCCACCATCTGGGGGTGGTGACGTGGACAGTGTGACGTGGCCAGGCGCCTGAGAGCCGTCTGTCCGTGGCAGAGGGAACTGTTTCTGGGAGCCAGGCCAAGGCCCAGGAGATGGGCAGACGGGAGGAGCCTGGTACCTGGGGGTCAGGCTGAGGTGCATATGGTGAGTGGCAGGCAGATCCTAGAGCCCACGGGGGCCCAGAAGCCACCAACCAGGGAGCAGGTACTGATGGGCTGGCACCCCCCAGTGGTGATACCCCCACACACGGGCTCTGGACCTTGCTGCCGAGGCTGGACTCTGGTCTCCTCCCTTAACCTTGGGGTTCCTGTTCTGGGGAGGCGGGGAGAGGCCAGCCCTGACCCCTAAGAGTGACCCTGGTGCTGTCTCCACAGGGCAAACGCTACAAGAACTCCCTGGAGACGGTGGGCACGCCAGACTCGGGGCGCGGGCGCAGCGAGAAGAAGGCCATCAAGTAGGTGCCAGGCTGCCAGCGTGGGGGGCACATAGGCGACCCAGGTGGGAGGAACCCCTTCCTCCTCCTCAGGCCTGGCCACACACACACAGTCCACAGTCCCCTCGCCCCCTGAGGCCCTGCTCAGTATCTGCTCTGCATATTCCCAGCATCTCTGGGCCCTCAGGGCCCTCCTTCTCTGCCTGTGCCCCCACTGGTCCCTCACAAGCCCTCAAAGCCCCGGTGCCTTTCTCTGGCTGTCCCCATCCCAGCACTGTCTCTCTCTGCCTCAAGCCTGGTTGCCGCTCCCTCCATCCAACCTTCATGTCACACACCTGTCCTGACCCCTGGCCGGTCCCTGGACCTCTAAGCTCCTCCCCGGGCCCTACTCCTGGGCTGGGAGCCTCCTCCTGTGGGGCTCAGGCTCTTGGCTCAGATTCTACCCGTGTTCCGAGGGCAAACCTGGGGGACCCAGCTGGTCCCAGTGCTGGACCTCTCTGGAAGCAGAACCGTGGGGAGAGTCGCCTCCCTCCCCTGTCCCCACCTCAAGTCCTGCTGCCTGTGACCTGCTCTGAGACCCATGTGGCAGACAGGTCTGGCTTCCCCCTGCAGACTGCCTTGGCCATCCCATTACTGAGGTCCCTGGAAGATCCCCGGAGAGGCGCCTGCTCACCTGGCAGGAGTGGGCAGGCCTCTGGGAGTGGAGGCTTCCCTGGAGCCGGTCCATCCCGGCCCTTTCTTCCTGTGGAACCCAAGCCTTTCCCGGAAACTTAGGGGGCATGGTCGCCCTCTCTCAGCCTGTCTAAGACCAAACCTGCTGGCCGAGGGGCTCTGCCAGGAAGCCGAGCCCCCAGCCCCTTCCCTCCTTTACCTCCAGGCCTGCTGTCCTCCCCCCCACCAGCCTTCTCCCTGTTTTTCTTTCTCTTCTCTTCCCGCCCCTGTCCCTCTCTCCCCCTCCTTCCCACTTGGAGGGCCCCTCCCTGCCCCTCCCCTGTTTTCATCTCTTTCTCTGACCCTGGTTGGCCCCTTTACAGAAGCTGCGTGTGTCTGGGGTGGGGCTGCAGGAAGGGTGGGCCAGCTGAGGCTGGGTGGGTGGAAGCCTCAGGAGGAGGCTGTGGGGAGTCTTTGAAGCCGGGTTTGGTTGCTCTCCAGTCTTCAAAGCCGAGAGCTGGCAGGTCTCGGGGGCTGGTGCAGAGCTCAGGCCCCCAGCTTTCCGAAGGTGGGAGGGACAGTGTGGGGGAGCATAGGGCGGCACCTGTGCCACTCCAAGCTGGGCTATCTACAGCCACTGGCTGGGGCAGAGGGACTATCTGTGCCAGGTGATTAAACAGGGGTGCATGTAGCAGGGCCAGGAATCCTGGAAAGGGCCACGAGAGAGGACAGGCTTCCCAGCAAGGGAAGGCAGGCCAGCAGGGCCAGCAGGGCCAGCAGCCATCTCCACCAGGCTGGGACCAGTGCCCGTGAGGGTTCTCTAAGACAAGGTGAGGCAGCAGCACCGTCCAGCCCGACTCTACCCTGAGCCCACCATCCACACAACCTAAGACCACCCTCACCCTGCTGGGTGAGGGGAAGGGAGTCACTGCCTATGTCTGTGTGACCCATATTCCCAGACCTGTGCCACTTATTTACTGCACAACTCCTGGCGGACTTAGGACCTCCCAAAGGGACTGTCTGTCAAGGATTCTGGGAAGCCTCGTTCTTGATCAGCGTTTCCTTCACCGTGTTCCTTGGAGCACTTGTGCCCCATAAATGATTAATGGTTGGCCACGAATCAGGGGTTCCACCTGCAATCAAGTTTGGGGAACACTGTGTGTGTACTCTGTCTCCCTTTTGGTGATACTGATAGTCATGGGCGGGTTAAAGGCTCTGCCTTGTCTGCATAAAGGAACCACACACACACACACACACACACACACACACACACACACACACTTCCTGAATTAAAGATCCTCTTTTCTAGTGCCACAGTGAGAACCTGAGGGACCCTGGAGCTCCATGGGACACAGGGCAGGAAACCAGCCTGGCAGTGGCACTGGGTGAATCTTTCTCTCTAGGACCTAGCGTTGGGTGGCTCTCAGTTTTGGAGATCTGAAAGGAGAAGGGGGAGGGAGGCCATCCTCCTGCTCCTGCTCTGTGACACCTGATGTAGGGAGGCCCCATCCACACCTTCGTGTGATGCCCCGTTGCCAAGGGGCCCCAAGGACAGCTCTGATGGGGATGGGGTCATTTGTCAAGGGAGCGGCTTCCCCTGGCGCCCATCCTGCCTCTCCTGCCCCCACCCCAGCCTCCTTGTCCCTGGAACTGGCTCGGGGCTGGGGCTTTGAACATTGTGCACACAGCCCCCACCACCATCATGAGACTTTTCCAAGGTGAACTTCGTACAGTCAGACATTCTGAGCCCACTAACTCTTCTGAGCCTAGTGGTGGCATCTCAGCTTCTGTCACCTTTTGGTCCTTTGTTCCCGAGTGAGAGGTGAAGAACCAAGGCCAAGGTCAAACTCTCAGTGGGGAAAGAAGCAGGTTCCCCCCCCCCCAACGTTTGCCGGATCATCAGGGGGTGTGCCCCCACAGTGCCCTTCCCCCAACCACCCCTGACAGGACCTGCAGGGGCTCAGCCTCAGTGACCGTGCGCGCGCGTGTGCGCGCGCGCACACACACACACACACACATGCACACACACATGCACACACATGCACACGGCAGGCACCTGCCAGCTCCTTCAGAGCCTCCTCCCGAGCAGCATTCTTAGGGGCCAGAGGGGGCTCCCTTCCAGAACGGTCCTTTGGCCTGGGAGCCGCCTCTCCTTGCTCTGCCCCTTGGAACCCTAGGAGTCTGACAAAGTGGTGGAGACTCTTGTTCTTGGCCACCAGGGTCTTCAGGCCACCCGGACTTTGGCCACCTGCCCTCTTGAAAGTCCCCATACTTTGGATGTGTCTAGCATGCTGGCTCCTCCAGCGTGACAAGTCAGAGCAGGAGGGTCGGGGACCCCGAGGTGAGAGTCCCTTAGGAGCCCAGCAGCTTCACCTTAGAAAAGGACAGGGGCACAGAGAGGGCTGCGCTAGCTGGCCAGCCAGGTGCACGCCAGGGGCCTGAGGCTGAGACCCCGCATCAGCCCCAGGACAGGCTCCCTGTGCTGTGCTCAACGAGGTCAACGCCTTCCTTTCCCAGGGGCTAGCCCCAGCACCACATTTGCCCTGAGTGGAGGTGCTCTTCAGCTCGCAGAGACCCTGCCCCCAGTCTCACGGACACAGTGCATCCTGTTCTTGCCAGAGGAGGAGAGAGGGCACAGGGGCCAGGGGGCACCTCAGACCAGTGGCAGGATGGGCAGGATGGGCAGGAGTGGCTCCGTGGAGATTAGGGGGAGAGGAGAGCCACCAGCCTTCTCCTTTGACAGGCAGGGGGCCTGAGGCCAGGAGAGGTCACTGGCAGCAGGATCGGATCTACTTTCCAGCTCCTTCTAGCCAGAAACCATCGCCTCACCTTCTCCCCCTGCACCCACCCCACCCAGGCTTGTCCCCGACCCCCTCCCCCTCTGTGCCCTACTCTCATCGTCTCTCTCTCTCCCACCAGCTTCCCAGGCGCCAGGCTCCCGTCTGCCCATCCGCAGCTTGCCTCCTTTCTGCGTGGCCTCCCCTGGCCAGCCCTCCAGTGCGTGTGCGTGTGCATGTGTGGGCTTGCACATGTGTGCGCGTGAACAGGTGCCAGCTCAGGCTGTGGCGCCCGTCTGCCTTTCTTCCTCCCGCAGGAGCAGACCCTCGAAGCCCCGCCCTGTGGGTGCCCACCCCGGTCCCGTCCCTTCTGCCCCCGCAGGACTTGGAGTTCTTGTTTCTTCTTGTATCTCCCTGTTTTCTTCCCTCTCTCTCTGCCCCTCCAGCGATCTAGACAGAGACTTTTGGAATAACAATGAAAGCACAGTGCAGCAGAAATGGAGCTCCTACCCTCCCAAGGAGTTTATTCTAAACATTTCACCCTACGCCCCTTATGGCGACCCACGACTGTCCCTCAAGTGAGTGACTTTACCTGGTTTGATCATATGTACAAGTATCCGCGCACGCCCTCCTCTCCCCTGCCCTCTCCGGTGGCCCCCTTACTTCCCCCCTGCTCCTTGCCCCACCTCCCCACCCGTCCGCCCCATGGGCAGGCTGGCCATGGAGACGAGCAACCCCTCCTGCCCCTCGCCTGCCTGCCCCGTCCCACCCCTGCCCCAGGGCCAGCCACACAGGAGAGCCCCCTCCAGCCGCCTGGCCCCACTGCCCCACCCTCTGTGCAGTCAGGATGGGGTTGCCCGTTTGGTCCCTCCCTCTTGGTTGTGGCTCGCTTTTTCCTCCCTGCTGTGCGCTGCTGCCGTGGCTGCTGGTGGTCGGTGGTCGGTGGTCGGTGGTCCGTGGCGGTGGTGGCGGTGATGGTGGTGGTGGTGGTGATGACTTCTGACTAACATGGCTTTCTCTCTCTCCCTGCCTGGGGGCCTCCTGGCCTGGACAGCCCGCTCTTCCTCCGTCGTTAACCCTTCGTTGTCCTGTGGGATAGAGTTGGAGGTGGCTGCCCTCCCCTACCCCCGCCGCCCCTGCCCCAGGCGGTGGGGAGGGGCCCCCCTCCATTGTCGTGGTGCGTTGTTCTCCGACCCCAGCCCACCCGGTGCCCCTTTCTCCTCTGCAGGCTCCACTGTTAACCCATCTGCAGTGCTGATGTCTCTCTCTCTCTCTCTGTCTGTCTCTTGTCCGTCTGTCTCTCTCCTTCTCTCTTGCTGTCTCTTTCTTCCTTTTATCTGTCGTTGTCTCTCCTCCTCTTCCACCCCTCCACCCCCACGTGTGGCCTGTCCTCTCTCCCCCACCGTCACCCCCGGTGCCCCTCTGGCCGGGCTGCCTCGTGCATGCCTCAGTGGCACCCTCCTGTCGGGCGCCAAAGTGGCCGCCGTGGCGGGGCTGGCGGTGGAGCGGGAAGGCCGGCTGGGGGAGAAGCCGGCGCCGGTGCCACCACCCGGAGAGGACGCCTTGAGAAGCGGCGGGGCTGCCCCCAGCGAGCCGGGCAGCGGTGGCAAGGCGGGGAGAGGCCGCTGGCGGACGGTGCAGAGCCACCTGGCCGCAGGGAAGCTCAACTTGTCCAAGTGAGTGATGGCGCCCCAGGCCGCGGGAGCCGCGAGCGCAGGCCCACCCCTGCCAGGTGGACAGCGGGACCCCTGGCATGCCCGCTTCTGCCCCCAGAGGTGCCGTCCTCGGCCTCTGGCTCATTCCATTTCTTCACAAGATTCTCCCATCGTCCTTGCCATTGGGCACGACCAACTCCGCCATGCAGGGTCCCATTCCAGCCTCCCGTGGCTGCCCTCCAGTCTGTCCCTTTGCCAGCACCCAGTCATTCCATTCTCCCCAGCAGAGCAGCTTCATTTCAGTCCTCGGGCCACCCCATCCTCTTTGGCCGGCCACCTCATCTCAGCTGTCAGGTCACCCTCCACAGGCAGCAGGCCCGTGGTTGTCCCCAAGGGATCATCCCATCCTTGCAGAGCCAGCCCACCTTAGCCTGCCTCTGCCACCCATCAGCCCCTGGGCATTTCCTCCTTCAGCCAGCAGATGGCTCTAGACCTGACATTGAGCCACCCATCCTGGACCACCTGGGGACCCCATCAGCTTTCCCCAGTCTTGCTTGTCAACCATGACACCATCTGTTGCAGAATTTCACCCATGAGTGGCCGCCAGGCCGCCCCATTGGTTCATCTCATCTCAGCCATCCCCACTGGCTGTCCCAGTCTTGGTCAGTGAGCTGTCCCTCTGTCAGCTGCTGGGATTGGGTGTTCTTGGAGGTTGGATGGTTGAGCCCCAGCTAGCTTCTCTCCAGATGCCAGAGGATGATCTGCATGTCAGGCAGAAGAGCTGTCCCTTTTTAATAGCTGAGGTTGTCCGTCAGTCCCAGTCTTGGGTGATGGACATAGGGTTGGTCCCTGTTTTCCAAAGATGATATGCACCCCCCCCCCAGGGGCAGGATTTTCTCATCTTGGCTTTTAGAAACTTCCAGTTCCCCACAGTGGAGCCCTTCCTGTCCTGGGACCCTCAACTGTGGCCATTCTCATGCATGGGATGTGGCTCCACTTTCAGCTACTGGAACAGCCTCATTCCCCACTAGTGGATCAGCCACCCCCTTGGCATGCCAAGAGCCTTGACCCCTTCTTAGCTGTGGGCCTTCCTGTTGCTCAATATAGGGCCCACCTGGTTCTCTTTAGAAGTCCCACCAATGGGACCCCTGAGGGCCACGAGGCTGAGACCTCACTTGCTGGCTGGCTTAAATGAACCATGTCTCCTCTGCCCTCACATCTAGCCTCAGGGAAGTCCCAGAGGAAGCCCCACACCCCTCCAGAGTCAGCTCCCATGCCCGCCTTCCCCAAGCTGCCCCCGCCAGTCTCCAGGCTGGCTAGGCCGCCATGCCATTTGCTGGCTCCAGGCCTGAAAGAACCAATTTTAGTTTCCTGTGACTGAGAGGTTGTAAATTGGACTAATTTTGGATGTGATAGGAAACCAAAATGAGGTCAGCAAGGAGGAGGGGGAGGAGGCCGCCAATGTGCTGTCCTCCCTTTGCCTCCGCCGGCCCCCAGGGAGCTGTGGGCCTACCTGGCCAGCCAGGCCTGGGCCTGCCCCTGTGAGAGCCCTGACTCCAGGCCTGAGGCAGGCAGGTTGCTGCCCCTCCAAGACTGCAGCTGAAACCATGTTTGCTTTCCTCTTTCTCTTTCATTCTCTCTTTAAAATACTTTCTCTCTCTCTCTCTCTCTCTCTCTCTCTCTCTCTCTCTCTCAGCCCACAGGGGCAGCCTAACTGTTGTCTTTTGGTTCCCAGGGTAGGTTCAGGGGGTGAGCAAGGCTGAGGTCTGGCTGCAGTGGTGAACGTGGCTCCCAAAGGCCCTGGGACCTCCTCTCAGCTCCCCGTGGTCCTGGGCCAGGGCCTGCACACTTCCTCAGTGAAGGGCCAACTAGGAAATACTTAGGCTTTGCCAGGCCAGCTGTCTCTTACACTGCTTGGCCCTGCTACGGCAGCAGAAAGGCAGTTACCGACAGTCTGTAAACTCATGCCAGCAGCTGTGTTCCAATAAAACTTTATTTACAAAAGCAGGGTTGAGCCGGATGCAGCCCACAGGCCACGCGGTTACCAACCCCTGCCCTAGTCGTTGGATTGGAAGAGGGAGGGAAGGGAGGTGGAAGAGGAGGTTTGCACTCTGAAGTTCAGGGAGGAGAAGCAGCTGACCTGGAGCTGTTCGGCCCAGGCTCTGGCCCCAGTCTCTGGTGCTCTAGTGACATCCTGCCTCTGGCCCTGCCTCTGGGGTGTACTGAAATCTCTGGCCAGGGCACGGAGCAGGCAGGTTATGTCAAGGGGAACCACAGACTCCTGACGTCAGAGCGTGGCGTGAGAGTGTTTACAGATATTCCCCTGACCTCTGTGATGGAGGTGACTCAGGTTGTACCATTGTTTCAAACTCCCATCATACAGATGAAGAAACTGAGGCCCAGAGAGGAGACACCTTGCCCAGAATCTCTCGTGAGTAAGTGGCAGAGATGGCTTTGACCCCAGGTCTCTCTGACCCTGCACGGCCTCTCACCTGCCAGGTCCTGTTTCCTGTCTTTACCTGTCCCGCTCCCCACTGTTCTTCAGAGAAGCGGTGGGCCTGTGACATGAGTACTCTCAGGAATAAGACAAGATGGTCGCCCGAGTCTCTGTCGGCACCGAGTCAAATGGCCAGGGAGTTCTGGGAGGAGGGCAAAGATACAGCCCAGCACCTGAGGCAGCCTTGACCTCAGAGCAGTGGCCTGCGGGCCCAAGACCTCCTCCTGCCTCCCCTCCATGGGCAGATTCTAAGGACCACTGGCTGATCCCCCTCACCAGGCATTTCTAGGCCAGCTCAGGTGCTGGCCTGGATTTCCTCGTGTCTCCGAAGGACAGTAGTACTCAGAACACAGAGACAGCCTTTCCTGGTGTCCCCCCTCAAGGGAGCGGCCTCAGGGCCCAGGGACCTGCCTTCACCACGCAGCCACCGCCCTCAGATTGGCAGAGAGGTCGGCCCAGACAGGAGGCATCGGGGCTGTAGCCTAGCGGGGCCGAGGGCAGGGTGGTGGGGCCGACCTGGGGGCCTCCGGGCGGGCACACGGGCTTTATAGCCTCATGGGTGAGGCAGTAGCGGCGACGGCGGCCAGGACGACTCAGATGGCGGCTTGGTGAGGTCCAGCCGAGCGTGCGCACCCTGCTCTGGGGCCTCGAGCCCTAGCCCTCGGCTCCTTTCTCCTCCACTGTGATCCCTTCACCTGCTTCTCCTTTCTCTCCTCTCCTCCACCCGCCCCAAGTTTCGAGGACTCCACCCTGTCCACGGCCACTACCCTTGAGTCTATCCCCAGCTCCACGGGAGAGCCGAAATGCCAGCGACCCCGCACCCTGATGCGGCAGCAGAGCCTGCAGCAGCCCCTGAGCCAGCACCAGCGGGCCCGGCAGCCCAGCCAGCCCACCACCAGCCAGAGCCTGGGCCAGCTGCAGGCCCACGCGGCCTCGGCACCGGGCTCCAACCCCCGGGCCTATGGCCGAGGCCAGGCTCGGCAGGCCACCTCGGCCGGCTCCAAGTACCGGGCGGCCGGGGGCCGCAGCCGCTCCAACCCGGGCAGCTGGGACCACGTGGTGGGGCAGATTCGAAACCGAGGCTTGGACATGAAATCCTTCCTGTAAGTCCTCCCCTTGAGCGGGCCAGCCCCCCATCTTCCCCTTCCAGCCTCCTTCCCCCCAAATCTCCTTGGGAGCAGCTGGTCACGTGTCATCCTTCGTCCTCCATATCCTTGGCAGTGTGCCAAGCAGTCTCAGTGGTCCCCTCGGCAGCCTCTGTGGCTGGTGCCGGAGCAGCCCTGTAACCTGAGCTACCTCTACTCTGAGGACCCCCGGACCCTCTTGGTGCTCAGAGGAAGGACCCACACCTCCAAAGTTAAATGGAGACATTAGACCCTGCTCCAGGAGTCCCTGAGGTCCGTCTCCTCCCGGTCAGGCCCAGGCTGCTCTGGGCCTCCCAGCCAGCCTCGCCTCTGCCCTACTCCCCTCCTAACCCTCTCTGCCACTCCACCTCCAGGGTCCTGCCCTCCTCCACTCCAAGTGACCTCCTCTCTGTAACCTGACTCTGCCAGCCTCCTGCCCCACACTTCCTCCCTCCCTCTCACTTCCCCTGTCCCTGCCATCAGCCTGTCCCCTGTCTCTTTGACCTTCTGTAGCCACCTGTCCTCCAGCTCCTGCCATGGCTTCCCAGGACTCCTTCCTCCCCATAATGCCCCTGCCCCTGAGGACAAACCTGAGATGCTCCCAAAGCTTCCGAACTTGTAAACCACAGCCTTCTCTCAAGTGCACAGGCCCAGGAGGAACCCGCGGCCAGCATCCAACCTTAGTCACTACCCCGCCAGCTGTTAGCGCCCCCTGCTGCCTGCCTTAAGGGACGGGCCCCTGCCCAGAAGCCCCTTTCCCCAACAGCCTTCTGGGCACCTATACTCGCTCTCAGCCCAAGACCGTGTGGGCTGTGGTTCCCAGCATCACACCCTCCTCCAGCCTAACGTGGGCTTCCTTCCAGGCTCTGGGGACTGTTCCCATCACCCGGGTCTTCCCTGGGAACACTTTTCAGGAGCTGGAGACCAGCAGAGTAAGACTGGGAGAGGAGAAGGGGAGGAAGAAGGGTAAGCCCAAGACAGAGGCCCAGCTCACGACAAGATACAGGGAATTGGAAGGCATGCAGGCCCCTGTCTATCCAGCTGAGAGTCCAGCCTGAGCTTCCAGGGCAGTTGGGGGCAGTGCCCCCGGGAAAGGCCCTCCGACAGAAGAACCAGCTTTTCATGCCCATGCAAGAGACCTGTGGCCCCGGCCCAGCAGGGTGCTGCCTGGCTCTCTGACAAATCAGGGCAGCCTATCCGCTGACCCTTCAGATCCACGGGATCCCTGCACCACACAAGATGCCCGGCAAAGCCCCCTGTCTGGGATGGACGCTGTGGCCCTGGAGTAGATCTAGAAGAGTCAAGGAATTGGTTCTACCATGGCCTGGAGAGAACGGCAGGCCAGCTGGACCCCACACCTCTCTGCTCCTTGCTTCCTGTCCTCATGGCATCGGAATGTGTCCAGGATCTCCCCAGCTGCAGGAGGAGCCCTGGGTACCAAGTGCCTGCCACCTTCCTAGTCAACCAGGACCTGATGGGTGCCACTCACATGCTAGCATCCTGTGATGGGTGTCCCTCAACGTGCCAGCATCCTGTGCCTGCCCTTCTACCCACATGGGAGCTCTCACTCCCCCTACCTGCTGCTGCCCCCAAGTCACCGGCCTCTCAGCCCCTACCTCCTCTACTTGCCCCTCAGCAGTGGTCAGCAAATTCTGCCTGTAAAGGCCTGAGGATATTTTAGGCTTTGCAGGACTCACGTCATCTCCGTCACATGTTCCTTTTTCCTTTCTTCTTTTTTTAATCTTAGCCCTTTAAAAATATATAGACCACCTGGGTGCGGTGGCACACGCCGTGATCCCAGTGGCTCGGGAGGCTGAGGCAGGAGGATCGCAAATTCAAAGCCAGCCTCAGCAATTTAGCGTGGCCCTAAACAATTCAGTGAGAGCCTATCTCAAAATGAAAATATTAAAAAAAAAGAGCTGGAAATGTGGCTCCATGGTTAAGCACCCCTGGGTTCAATCCCTAGTACCAAAAAATAAATCAATTAATTAGATGTACAAAACATTCTTAGCCTATGAACTGTGCACAAACAGGCCACAGACCACCATTTGCTGACCCATGCCGTGCAGTTTAGGTGACCTGTTTTGGAGACTCTTCTTTTGCTCCCAATACCAAGGCCCCTTCAGAGGGTCAGGTTGGGAGGGGACTGTCCAGGCCCTGCAGGACCCATCCTTTGGTCAATGGGCAACCCCTCCAACATGGTCGGCATCTCCCCCTACTCTCTGGCTCCTGCCCCTTATCCTGCCCTGGCGGCCTGCAAAGCTGCAGAGAGTGACAAGTTGGGTGTTTATGCAGAGGCCACTCTGTTTTTAAGAAGAGCAAAAGGAGTCTCTGAAAAATGCATTAACCAGGGAAAAACATGTTGTTTTCCCTTGGTTTGCCTTCCCCCAGCTCCACCAGCTCCCGAGCAGCCAAATGGAATTTTACCAACTCTGAGAGAGTACCGGTGGGCAGGAACAAAGGGAACAAGGACTCATCCTGAGGGAAGCGGCAGCGTTGCTCCCCAAAAGTTATATGCAAGAACAAGTGTCAGCCTGCAGTGGCGGTGCCCAGGGCCAAGACACGAAGACAGAGCAGGACCCTGCAGCTACCCAGCTTCTTCCCGGTGCTCAGCCCCCAGGGGCATCTTCCTGTCTCCAGGACCCCTGTGCTCTCAGCCCTCATCTCGGAGGCCGTTTCTCACCTGTTTGAGTTCCTGTTTGATGGTCTCTCTGGGGAATAATCACAGCCAGCTCTTGCCTTCCTTCAGTGGTTGAAGTGGTAGATTCCTGACCCAGGACCCTCTCCCTTCCAGAACATTCCGTCCATCTTGTCACCTTTCCCTGGGCCCTTCTGGTGATTGGCTTTCAGGCCCGCCCCATCTGAGAATGCCTCCTTGCTTTCATGAAAGACCTAACACCCGACGAGCTCCACAAAGCCGCCAGAAAATGCTCACGGACTCCGATGGTTTCCAGAGGCAGCAGCCACCCACGCTTCCTTTTCTTCCCAGGAAAATGCAGGTGACCCCAGCAAAGATCCCTGGCATTGCCCAGTGGTTCTCAGAGAAGGCACGATGACCTCTGACCCCAGACTACTGTCCACTCCAAGACACTTGGCCCTCTCCGTGCCTGCCCACCCATTCTGCCCTGGCCATGTGGCCCTCAAAGCACCATCACCCTCTGCAGGCGCAGGCTCCCTGCAGTCCTGCCAAGGCTTCTCCGCACCTTGCCAAGTTCCTGCACTCTCTCTCTCTCTCTGCCTTTGCTTTTCCGTGCCTTTTGGACTGCTTCTCCAGTGAGAGGCCCCTGAACAGGACCCGCAGTCTTTGGCAGGCCTTCCCCGGATCCCTAGAAAGGGGGACACAGGAGAGGGTCTGCTGTGTCCAAGTACACCACATGCCAGAAGGGACTTCCATTCTCCTCTGATGGGCTGTACATCCTTGGGCCCCTTCTGGCTTCAAGGACATCTGGTGGACCATGACCCAGAGAGGTCTGTGATGGGCTTCCATGATCACAGGGTGCAGTGCCCATTGGATTTCAAATTTCTAAGATAGAGCTGGGGCTATCGCTCAGCTGCATGCACAAGGCCCTGGGTTCATAAAACAAACAAACAAACAAAAACCCAAAGATGCTCCCCTCTGAGAACCTGAACCTGCGTGCACAATCCTAGAACAAGATGGTCACGGAGCCCCACCCCCTTCTCCCAGGGGCCAAGATGACCCAAGCAACTTCAGCTGGGGATTCATTAGCCTTTAAAAATCTGCCATGTCCCAGGACCTGAGCTCCACTCCTGCCCCCACCGCCCCCAGCTGTCTCTATGTGTTCCCCTGGAACTGACCCACCAGTGACAATCTCAGCCCTGTGTCATGTCACCCCCCCCCACAGTCTGCTCTTGGCCCAAGGCAAGGGGGTCCCAGGCTGAGGACAGCTCCCCTCTGTGCCCTCCCGCCTCCCTCCTCTGTCCCACCACTGTTGACAGTCCTGAAGTTGGCTTTTCTTTTCCTGCAGGGCCAGTTTCTTACGCTTTTTTCTTCTCTCTCTTTGTCTCTGTCTCTGTCTCTCCTTCCCCCCCTGCCCCTGCCTGTGGGGCCTGTTGGTCTCGCCCCGGCTGGTGGGCTGCCCACCGGGCAGGGAAGGCCGGATGGTGGTGCTATCCTTGGTCTTAGGGCTTTCGGAACAGGATGACTTTGCCAATATCCCTGACCTGCAAAACCCAGGAACCCAGCAGAACCAGAACGCTCAGGGGGACAAGAGGTACGAGCACGGGCGAGGCCCACGGCGCCGCAGAGACGGAGGCACGGGAGGCCGACCGCCTTGACCGGCCCGGCTGCTGGACCAGGCGGTGGTGCCTTCAGCGGACGCTGGAGCAGGAGGACGAGCCCCCTCCCCCGCTGTTGCCCCCTCACAGCCACCTTGGTGGTGTCCCTGGGGCTATGAAGGGACCATTCTGGATCAAGCCTGCTCCCCAGCATGCTGGCCCCGGCGGGCAGCGGGAGCAAGCCCAGCCTTCTTGGCCCCATCTCCCTGCTTGGCCCCCCTCTGCTGCCCCCTCCATCTTTCATCTCTGCCCCACCCCCGACCCAGAAATCCCCGTTTCCCTGGAGGTTGGGGGACTGTGGAGGGGATGTCAGGGGAGGGCGCCAGCCTCACCCCCTCATCCCCACCCCCTCAACCCCCCTGCTGCCTGGAGGTCCTGTGGGGCTGCTCAGCCCTGGAAGGGGAGCCCCTGGTGAGGAGGGGATGGGGCATGGGAGAGGCCTGGTGACCAGGACGAACCAGAAGGGCAGCCCTTCAGGCCAGGTTTCAGGAGGAGGGTGTGGGGTCCAGGGCCAAGAGCAGCTGAGGCAGCTGCTGGCGCAAGGGGGGGGCGTGGTTCCGTCAGCGCCCAGGGTCGCTGCTACCCTCAGGGCCCTGCAGAGACCCGGAATAGCCATGTGGCCGCAGCACTGGCCGAGCAGAGGCTGAGCACTCGCACCTCCACAGCTCCCACTGCCCCCAGAGTCCAGGAGGGCACTGCTTCAGGGGAAGGGGAAAGGTGGGGGGCCTCAGTGAAGGAGGCATCCTGCCTCTGGTCCAGCCTCCTCCGACCTGGCCTTAGGCTGGGATGATCACACACCTGTGGTCCCAGAGGTGGGAGGAGGGCTCGTCACCTATGTTAGGTCTGCTTCCCACGAGGTCAGTGGGTCGTGAGGCCCAGCAGCCAGGACACTGCCCATACCGCTGGTGTGGCCAGCGCCTCACTCTGCAGCCTTGGCAGGTCACGGCCCTTCCTAGGCCTCTGCTTCTGCAGCTGTCGAGTCAGGGACAGCAGGGTGACCTCTAAGGGGCAGCCCTTGCGGCTCAGACATGCTAAGCTTCTACTGAAGAAATGGGCCTTGGGCTAGAGCGCTTGTCAGACCCTGTGAGCTGGACAGGGACTGTTTGGACAGATGACCCTCTGGAGGCAGGAAAGGACTGGCCCGGGCTGCTGCCAGGGGCTTGTGGGTTAGGAAAGAGGGGATAGCCTGAGACTCCGAGGACTGGCTGTCCCTCCCGAGGCTTCTGGAGATCGGCCCTCTCATCTCCTTCCCGCCGAGTCCATGCTACATGTCTGTGGTGGGCCGCGAGTCCCTGGAGAGTGGGCGGGGAGAGTGGGGCCCTGGCCTTTCACTCATGGTGTCAGGCTCTGGGCCCTTGTCCCGGGTATGGGGAGAGGCGGGACCTGCCACTCCCAACCCCCCTGGGCCCTTCTCAATGCTGGGCCGCAGGCAGGCCAGAGGGCCATGGGGAGAGGGCCAGGGTCACGGACAAGAGGACGCAGGGGTGCTAGAGCCCCCTGAAAGCCTGCTAAGAACCTGAGCCTCTGGCTGGGGAGAGGTGTGGAGCGTGAGGGAGCAGACGCAGGCTGGAAACGAGATTTCACCCCACCCGTGTTGACCAGCCGGCTCATCGTCACCCGCGGCCTATTTCTACCTCCTCGCCACTTAGGTCTCGCTTCATATTTTAACACACCCATCCCTTCTGATCATGACATCAGCTTGTCCCCTGCCTTCCTGGGAAAGGGGGAGGGGCGTGGAGGTGGCAGCTCTTGCCCCACGCAACCCGACTTTCCCAGTGGACACCTACCATTCCCACCTGGCCATGCCCACCCACCCGGGAACTCATTCCTCACGGCCCACAGAGCATTTCCCCAATGGTGGGCCACCACAGCGGGGCTACACAGTCCAGTGCTTCCCCTAGCAGGCCCTCCCCACCCCAAAGCTTGGCGCAGCCATCCTGGCTAGGCCCAGGCTTCTCTGGTCCCTACCCTCTGGGCTCCGGTAACTTCCAACCTTGCAGTACTGGCTGGACCACCTGTCCCTGTTCAGCTTTCCCCTCCAGACCCAGAGTCTGCCCTTCTGCACCCCATTCCACCCCTCCCAGCCCAGGGACCCTGCGGCTCTTGTTTGGGAGAACCTGCCTCCCTTGGCCCGTAGCAACAGGCTTGTGGTAGACAGGGCCCAACGGAGGAGGAAGAGCCACTCCAGGTCCCAGACAAGATGGCAGTGTGGCCAAGGGACCACAGGAAGGCGGGAGGGGCAGTCCCTACCATCCCTTCAATCCCAGAAGGCCTGAAGCCCCCACTCCAGGACCCTCCAAACCCTGGGCCTCTAGGTAGGACCACGCAGCGCTCTTGGGCCTCGGGGGGAGCTGGCCACTGGCCCCAGGCGGGCGACTGCCTCACTCATTCTGCACCAGCCACCCACCCACCCAGCCACCCACCTCATGCTCACAGCCATCCTCTCTCCATTGCTCCTGGGATCCAAATGGTTTCCACCGTGGCCCCACCCCCACCCCGGTGGGGGGCAGGGCGGGGCCAGGCCACCCCCATTGCTCGCCTCCTCCGAAGCCACCATGTTCCTCTGCCCCTGTGTGTCCCCTGCCTCCTCTCTGCCTCTCCTGTTGGCCGCCTCGCTCCTCCTTGTCCCTGTCCACCCAGCAGCCTTCTTCACATGTCTCTGACTAACTTTTCTTGGCCCCTCTCTCTCTCCCTCTCTCTCTCTCTCTCTCTCCCTCTCTCTCTCTCTCTCTCTCTCCCTCTTTTTCTCTCTCTGCCTCCTTCCTCCCATCTGCTCCTCACAGGGATGTCCCTGGGCCGGTGACGGGCCCCTTGGCCTCTCCCTCTGCCTCTCCCCGGGCCTTTGTCTCTCCGTCTCTCTGTCCTGTGACCTCCGACAGCTTTGGTGGCGCTGACCATCTTTCCTAGGCTGCTCTGCAGCTGTGCCGAGCTGTGGCCAAAATAACTCGACTTCTCATACCTTCAGCAGTCAATCTCCGCTCTCCTCCTCTCCTGCTCTATTTTTAACCTGACTTTACCTCTCCAGCTATTTCAGTCTCCTCTTCCTCCCCGCGCTGTCTGCGTGAGCACGTGTCCACGTGTGTGCGTGCGTGCGTGTGTGTGTGTGTGTGTGTCCCCGTGTGTGCGGGGCCACACGTGCGCCCCCCCCAGCTGCGTGTGCTGCCGTGACCGTGCCTCTGGGAAGGGTGTCCAGCCTGTTGAGGGCGGGTGGGTGGCTCCCTGTTGTCACAGCAAGGCCAGGTTCTCACAGCAGGTGTATCAGGCACCTGATAATTGGGCTGTCTGTCCCTCCTCCTCCTTTCTGTTTTCAGTCTGTCCCGGTTCACGTGCGCACCTTGGTATGCCTGGGTGTCCCCGAGTGGGTTTCCTCCGGGGACCTAAGTGTGCCCATCACTGTGTGTGTCCTCACGGCTGCTCTGGTTGACCTGCCCGATGCCCATGCTATTCTCTCCCTGTGCCCCAGGTGTCTGCCCGCCTCGTGTGTTGGTGTGTGCGTGTCTGTGCGTGCCTGTGTGCACACCCTGCTCTTGGGTCCTGGCCTCCCCTCCGGGGCCTGGCATAGTCCGTGCATGTCTGTATGTGCCCGTCGTGGCCACCTGTGTGCTGGTGACCAGTCTGTAGCAGAGGGCCGCGGCTTGTGTCCGGCCTGTGTGGCTCCCAGTCTGTGACTCTGCTCTGAAGGCTGTTCTATTCTAGCCTGTCCCAGGCCCCGGCTGCCGGTCCCCATCACCTCCTCGCTGCCTGCCCCCACCTCTTCCTTCTCATGGGCCGTTCCAGCCTGGTCCCTGGGCGGGCTTTCAGGAGCCACTTCCTGACTCCCAGCTGACCGTAGCCCGGGCTTCCCACCCGGCCGCGGAGCCAGAGCTCCTAGCCTCCCGGGAACGGCATGGAGCTGGGTGCTGACTGGTTGCTCGGTGGGTCCCCCATCTTTCTTTGGTCCTGGGTGAGAGCCTCATCAAGTGTGCACACCTCCAAGTAGGAGCAGGGTGGGGACTGGGAGCACGGGGTGACAACTTGCCCTACCCAGTAGGTGCTTTTAAATCTAAATCAGCTTCAATGAAATAGAATCTTCAGTTCTCAGTCACGCTGGCCGCATTGCGAATGCCTGCTCGCCTGTGTGGCCAGTGGCTAGTGCTTCAGGGGATTCAGACAGAGAACACTTGGGTTTGGTAGAAACTCTGCCTGAGCGAGCTGTGTGGACAGGGGTCCTGACCTCACCTGGTCCCGAGGGTGGAAGAGCACCTGTGCTCTGCATAGCCTGAGTAAATAGGTGGGACACCTGGAGACAGACACTGGCATGTTTGCAGAGGGTAATGACGTGTAGAGGCACCTGGTCTCCACCGGGAGCCTCCCCAGTGAGCCTCCCCCTCCCAGGCTGGGGGGCAGGGTGGAGCAGGCCTCAGCAGAGGGGTGCAGACTCAGAGACCAACCATGCAAGCCAGTGCTTGAGGGCTAGAAGGCTTCTGGGGAACCCAAAGAGGGGGAACCCCACTCCAAACAGCCCCCATGGGGTTAGTTAAGCGAGAGGCACCTGGGGCAGAGGCTGCAAGGGGGATGGGCCCTGAGCGCAAGTCTTTGGGGAAAAACAGGCCTCCTGATGGACACGAGCTCTGCCTCTGCCGGCCTGCAGAAGGTGGCAGGGGCTCGGGTCCTCCGAGAAGGTCCTGCTGCCGCTCCAGGCCCGTGGCGCCCAGCCCAGCCCAGCTCCAGTCTGCACTCACTGGGACTCCCCCTCTCCCAGGTTGCCCGCAGGAGGTAAGGCCATGAACACGGCCCCAGTGCCAGGCCAGACGCCCCACGATGAGTCTGACCGCCGGACCGAGCCCCGCTCCTCCGTCTCGGACCTCGTCAACTCCCTCACCAGCGAGATGCTCATGGTGAGAAAGGCAGGGGGCCTGGGCCCCACAGAGAGCTGGGCTGGGAGGCAAGGCGTGTGTGCGTGCGTGTGCTCGTGCGTGTGTGTGTGTGTGTGTGTGTGTGTGTGTGTGTGT